GCTTTTTTGCTGAAGAGGTAAGAAATGTCAAAAACGCATTTTTGACGTTAAAGTTGTGAAATCAACCCCTTCGAAGGCCCCGAAGGAGATGTGGCCTTATAGCTACTAATGAAAGGAACACTTTTGATTAATTTGTAGCCCGTAACTTTTTATTTAGTCAGGTGAGAAATGCAGAAAGCCGCATTTTTGACGTTCAAGGGGTAAAATCAGCCCCTTCGACGGCTCCGAACGAAATGTGGCCTTATAGCTTCTAATGAAAGGAACACTCTTGATTCATTTTCAGCCTGTAACTTTTTTGCTGACGAGGTGAGAAATGTCAAAAACGCTTTTTTGACGTTCAGGTGGTGAAATCGACCCCTTCGACGGCTCCGAAGAAGATGGGATTTATGTGGCCTTATAGCTACTAATGAAACGAACACTTTTTATTCATTTTTAGCCAGTAACTTTTTGCTGGTTAGGTGAGAAATACCAAAAACCGCATTTCTGATGTTCAAGTGGAGAAATCAACCCATTCGACGGCTCCGAAGAAGATGTGGCCCTATAGCTACTAATGAAAGGAATACTCTTGATTCATTTTCAGCTTGTAACTTTTTTGCTGACTAGGTGAGAAATGCCAAAAACGCATTTTTGACGTTCAAGTGGTGAAATCTACCCCTTCGACGGCTTCGAAGAAGATATGGCAGTAGTAGGACAACATCGATTCTAACTCATTTGGTAACCCATGCAACAGGTTCTGTTAGTTTGCCCTCTATTTGACCTTGGGTATCTGAAGACTTTGCAGACATGCAAGAAGTGTATCGCCAATGACCAGAGGGTGAGATGTGCCAAAACGTGGCGTCATGTATGCAGAAAAAAAGGACTAAATATCATGTGACACAGAAAAGTGAGTAGTGATTGAGAAAAGCTTTATGCATATGCAAGAGACAAGCCTCGCCTAGCCAAGCCTAATTTCAATCATCCTCTAGTCATAATAATAATACTAATAATAATAATATGGGAAGAGAAATAAATGAAACGACGGCGGTAGTGTGATATTGTATTCATTCCAATTTTTGGTTTGAAGCATTAGATTCCAATTAAATAATAAATGAGCATTTTCTAAAGCACAATGCATATTATTATACAAATGTTTATAACGATGTTTGTACTGGAATATCTTCTTCAGCTTGCGAAGGTTTGGGCATCCTATTTCATGTAGGTCGGTGATGTGATTAGTCTTTCCAACCATTGTTGTTTTGAGCGTGCCTTGACAAAAATTGGTTCATCGTGGACATTTTCGTTAATGAACGATGTCAATTGTTCATAATGAAGACATGACTCTTCAGAAGGAGATAGATCCCAAGGAATTACACGTAAATTGTTTACTGTCCAGTTGATATGTGACTGTGTGCTACTGTTGAGCATTGTAAATTCTACAGGCAGATTAACTAATTTTTGTTGCCAGTATCCCGTTGCAGTATCCATGATAGCAATTTATTTGCAAATGAAGTTGGATCCACAAGTAAAGCCTTGAACGTCGATAATGATCATTTTTTTGTCCGTTGAATGTCGAACGCAAACGCTGCACAAGAAGACTGTATATGAATTTGTTAGGTAACATTTTTTTATGTATCCAGCTGTCATGTTTCTTATCGAATCCCAACCATCTGACTTTGATGTGGTCTACATTTTTCTCCAATATTTTGGTATAAGATAAACATCAGGATGTTTTACCTTTTGCAGTTGTTCTGTATAAAAGCCCCCTAAAATATGTTGATTTTTTTCATCTTTCAACGAATATGTAATTGGATTAGTTAATGTTACTTGTCGTATTGTGAAAATTTCAGGTGACCAATTTGGCTGATATTTCTTGTCAAAACACATCTTATTTTAGAAATGCGTACTTTGAATTTTGTTTTCAAGTTACAATTTTCAAGCGATTATATACAGTAGATAACAGTCTTCTTTCATCCTTCTTTGTGTCATCAGCTGGTTTCATTTGAATAGTTCTATGCTTCTTATTTTTATATTGTTCTATCAGTTTTGGTAAAATACTTATCCATTTAAATTTCCCTGTAGACTGAACTCTTTCCACGTCATATTTTTTAAAGTTCGATTTACTCTTTCGACAATGGCTGCCTTTTTTTCGCTGAATGTATTGTACTGATTGATATTATATTTCTTCATTAGGTTTTTAAAATCATTATTGAAAAATTCCAATCCAGCGTCTGTTTGTAGATTCTTAGGTGTTTCTTGTTTTAGTACACTTTCCATAGCTTTTGTTACCACTTTACCTGTTTTATTTTGTAAATGTAAAGCCCAAATAAATTTCGAAAAACAATTTATCACAACCAGTATATATTTATTGTTTTTATTTTCCCTCGAGTATGGTATCATTTCTACAAGATCTGCTTGGAAAAGGTCGTCTAGAGATTTCACAATGGTTTTTCTTCGGAAATTTCTGCGTGCAGGCTTATGTAGTTCTCCAACAACTTGACGTTTTATGTTCGTTTTATGTGTTTTAACCATTATTCAATATATTTACTTTCCCTTAATTCCTCAACTATCGAATTAATCTCATTAACATGGGGCTGGTGGTGGTGGTGGTGGTGGTGAGCTACCAGGTACCGTGTTGGTATTATTTTTAAGTTTAGATTCGATACTTCTCAAATGTTTTGTAATGGGATTGTACAAGGCTTCTTGTAACATTTCTCCATGTTTCAGTTAATATAATTTTCTTCGAACATTTTGACGCTTCAATATAAGTCTTTCTTTGAGACTACTTCCAGTTAAAAGTCTTCCCATTATCTTCATTCTATCATTAGGTGCTAATTAGACTTCGATCAGGTGGTGAACGGCTTGTAATCAGGTGATGATCAGGTTTTCATCAGTTGTCTATCTGCTCTGAACGCATCAGATGAGAATTATCCATAAATAATATGATCTATACCCTTCTATATCGACCGTTGTCAATGTTACAATCTTTAAATATGACTAAAAAATCATATGAATTTTCCCAACATACAGTACATATACGTTTAAAATTATCAAATGACATATCTGAACCAACATTATCATTATATATATGTTTTAAGTTTAAATCATCCTGCTTGAAAAGTATAATGATATTGGCATTATCCCTTATCAGATGTTTAGGTATTTCTACAAATGTTTGACACAAGTAGAAAGAATCTATACTGTTATGTCTTCCCATGCTGAAATATTCTCTGATAACATCTTGATTATCGCATGCGACATCATCAAAAATAAATATGGAATTTGGTTTGGCATCTGAAGGGTGTACAATGTTGTCACTAGCATTGAATGGAAAATATTTTATCCCTTTTATTGGTGTTAATAATTCTGCCAAATATGTATATTTTGGTTGATACAAAGACTTTGAATACACAAAAACATTTTCAAATTTTAAACAGTTTTCATGTTCAACCAAATTGATCATAAGATTTGTTTTTCCACAATTAGAAGGTCCAACTATAATACATCGCAACGTTGAAGGAAACAGCACGTCATGTTTTTTGATAGACTTATCTTTAAATATATCATTGTTATTAATATCTAATGTTGTTTTTTGTTTAATAATTTTCATGTTGTTCAAATAGTACTGCACTGCAGCAACAATGAAACTGATTATAGCGCGTGAATGTATTCATTTTTCAAACCATCTCTCTCTCAATGATGATGAAAAGTGAGGGAAGGGGAGAAATAAAGAAAGAAAGAGGATATTTTTGAAGACGTAAGTAGTTGTGTGAGGCCGAAAGGAACTCCTCCCGGGTGGGGGGAAGGGGTGGTTTGTGTAGCGGGGTAAGGGGCGGGGTGTGTTTAAATTCCGAGTCCTCCCAATGACCAACCTAATAGCATCGAAAACATGTTGTTTAATAGAAATGAGTCGACGGATAGTGTCCCCCCCCTCCCCACCTCCCTCCCCCACTACTATAGCTCATCGACCGGGCGAACGAGCAGCAGCGCTCTTTTCCCACTTCAATCTCGTCAGCCCAAACCTTAATCCGATGATATGGCCATCCTTTGCCCTCTCAATCGTCGTGTGCGGTGGGGTAAGGGGCGGGGGGTGTTTAAATGCCGACTCCTCTCAATGACCATGCTCATACCATCAAAAACGATCCGTTTAATAGAAATGTGGAGTCGACGGGCGATGTAATCCATTGTTGCCCTCTCAATCACCGTGTGTGGTGCGATATTTTTGTAGACTACCTAAACTCTTGTATGCACCTGTGCAGTAACGTAATCTAACTCTCCTCAGGTGTGGAAAGGGCCGGTGAGGTAAGGGGCGGGGGAGTTTAAATTCCAAGTCCTCTCAATGACCATCCTCATAGCATCGAAAACGTGTTGTTCGACAAATTTGTATCGTATAAATAGCTCGAGGAAGGCATTGTTACACTCTCAATGATCCTGCTAATTGTAAAACCACACAGCAGTTCGGTCCCCTTATCAAGAACTGTAAAACATTTTCGTGCTTCTGTCTTCAGATCATAAACGCGTTTATAATAGAAAAGAACCCGTCGATGGAAGGTGTTGTTAAGGCATTGTTGTCGTCACAATGGCCATGCCGATTGTAAAGTCTCTCAGCTGTTCGGTGCAGAACAATTGAAATGTTGACTATATATTTTTTTTTGTGGCCCACCCGAAATATATCTGGTGGTTGGGTTATTCAAATGTCTTAGGGTATGGAGCGGTGCTGTAAGGTAATCTAACTCTGCTAGTTATTATATAATGGTGAAACAATAACAGCTTTGATCATTCAAATTCAGCCATTTAACATCGATAAGTGACTAAATAATATTCTTGAAATACCTAACAGATAAAGTTTGACTTTGTTGACAGTAGTAATAAGTTTAAAAAAATATGAGGTAGTATAGGCAAATATGTTGGGTATAAATGATATAAAGGTTGAGATTGAACTGGGTTAGGAAAATGCAGCAGGTAAAGTTGTTTTGACAAATATCATGTTCCACTTGATATGACCATTATATTTATCTTTCCAGAAGCAGTACACCCCCTTTGGTTTGACAAGATGTGGATGCATTATGCATCATTTCGTTGGCCTGATTCAAAGGATCTACGTACCGCTGTCATGAGATTAGTGTGCCAGTTAACGGATTTGATGCATGACGCTGAACATTCAACAAACTACGATAGAATACCTATTTGTTGGGATGATAACGAGGTTGAAAGGATCAGGAGACTAATTCGGAAATACGAGGAAGGGCAGAAGTTGTGTACTACAAGAAGATTTTACTATTGAGCAGTTTTGTAGTGATATGATTAATTATAACCTTAGATCATTTCTGTGTGAGATTGCACGGTATTTACCTCCGGAAATTATCCTCAAATATAACCTCGTGTATGAGGATTGAACACTATCTGTTTAGTTTACTATACATAGGATTATACAATGCATTCATATTAAATAAATACCTGACATATTGAGTTGTTGTTATTTCATTGAAGAACACCAACGCATGATAAATACATGAATACATAATATTGCAATGCCTTAAAATTTTTCCATCAACTGAGCGAAGGCGATCAAAGAAATGTTAAGTTTCCGACAGATGTGTGCAGCCTTCTGGAAATTCTCAAATTTCACATTAAAGATAACGACAGCTGAAGATACACAACCTACAAATTGTATACACTAAAAATGATAGCTGCCATAAATTCGAATTGAGAATTGCCAACCACCTGAATGGGGTGAGGCTTGCCCAATACATTGCCTGTGATAGAAAGTCACTCCTCTGTGATATATATATATATATATATATATAGCATGACAGGGCAAGTTCGATTGTGCGTTCAGGAATTCTTCTCATAATATGCGTCCGAATATTCGACAACATCCACACAAGACAAAATAGAAATAGCTGCTGGTGAAAGAAGGGACATTTTTTTATTACACTATTCCCAGAAAACTATCTATAAAGAGTGTTTAGTATTTCCGTGTATGCACCTGCTCCTATATATAGCAGGTGGTACCCCAAGCTGTCATGCTATACAGGGTGACTTCGAAGTTGAGTCATTTATTTTAACAGTGAGTAGATCTGATCAAAAGAAATGTTTTTTTCCTTTACCATTTTTCTGGTAAAATTAAAGTAACAAAGTTATAGCCCTTTGGAAGTTTGAGTACTGCCCTGTCTCAATAATAATATGTTCGTGTTTGGCGACAACGGATATAATCCGCCTGACCGGTTCATCGCATCGGAAACAAAAAAGCGAAAGAATTTGAAACATTTATCACGATGTTTTTCGTCAGTCGATAACGCGTTAGTGAATAAATAGTAAGTGTTTGTTGCGTGGCTCAAACGAAATCAAAAATGGCACATGTTTACGAAAATGCTGAACTTGTGGACATGATTCTTATTTACGGGGGGGGCAGTCTTTACAAAATGCTCCCGGATGCATCACGGATTTATGCGAATCGGTTTCCCAATCGAGTGCAACCAACCCCTCGTGCCTTTGTTAATGTAGTACAAAGTGCTCGTGAATCAGGTGACTTAAGACCTCACAGGTCAGGGCATGCTGCTCCAATACCGCACGATCAAATACAGGTCCGCACTGAAATACTTGTCGGGACGATACTTTATTAAACAAGGTAACATTTTTTTTTATTTATTTTTTTATTTTTACACACATATTTTGGTTTATCTTCCTTCTACAATCATTATCTGAAAATTAATGACTCAACTTCAAAGTCACCCTGTATATTATAAGGGTTTAAATAAAGGCACTGTATAGTGTTTTGGGACAACTTTCAACAAGGAATGTTTGGCATTTCTGCCACAATTCTATGCAATTTCACCTGTGTTAATAGCGAGGGTCTCACGGTCAGGATTCGGTTTCTCAATATGGATAAATACATGATATAATGAGTTGTTGTTATTTCATCGAAGAACATCAACGCACGATAAATACATGAATGCGCGGAAATGATATCATTACTATGGAAAACTAAGAGAAAAGGAGGTACGTTTCATTATTTTGTAATGCCATTCCTAACACACACACATATAAGGGGGGAGGGGGTGAATTCAAACAGGAGAACGATCAATCGGTAGGTTAGAGGCGTTTTATGATTAGTAAATATACGGCGTGGCCTAACCTGTTGTATGCATGCTAAAGAATAAGGATACGTAAAGACAGGTAGATTTTAACGTATTTATATTGACCTTGTGGACAGGTAAACTGGTCTCTGAATCTGAAACGAAAGATAACAGTGGAGAGAGAGTGAAGTGGGTTGGTATGTTCAGGGTTCAGGGGTTTTGAATGAATGTAAAAATCAATGTGTGTCTAGGTTAGTTTATTAAAACAAGATTTGCAGAATTTGTACTTTTTCTATTGATACAACCATTTCGAACATATAGCGACTACGTAAATATAGCACAAAACATAAAACTGAGGGTCCAACAGAAAAGGATTACGATATATCATTAATATCTATCCAAGAGTTTTTATAATGTGGAAATCCCAACCATTTAACTAACAGCTTGTTGCCCTTTCTCCTAGTCACCTTTTCAATCAAGTACTCATTTGGAAATTTTGTTTTTCTTAGTTTCTTCTCGTAGAAACAGCATTTTATTGGACAACCTTGCACGTCTTCTAACATATATGTAACTGGATTTGAAATGTTGACTTTGTATATTTTAAACAACTCCGTTGAATAGTGCGATGTACACCCTTTTGCAAAAAGATTTTTGTATTTGCTTACTCTGACGACATCGCCAGGTTTAAGCTTCCCATTTCCAGCTACTTTTGGATGATTGTACACATTCAATCGTGTATGGAAGTCGACTCCGATGGGGCTTACACCTGTCGTTCGATGTTTCCTGTTGTTATAAAAATCAGTAACATCTGCTAAGATATTGATCCACCGGTAGCTCCCCCTGGCTGAAAATTCAGTGAAAAGTAGGTGTTTTAGTGATCGGATAGCTCTCTCAACTATTGCTCCTTTTTTCGTACTGTATGTGGAATAATGATTAATCCCATACTTGTGCATCAGAGCGGAAAATTTGTAGGTTCTTTGGGTGATGGGTAGCCGTTTGTAAAATATCATCCATTGCAATAGTTACGGTTACCATATCTTTCCTTTTAATTGGTCTGCACCACATGAACTTAGAATAGCAATTGATAACTACTAATATGTATCTATATCCATCATTCTCTTCACTGAAAGATTGCATTTCAGCCAAATTAGCTTGCCACAAGTCAGCGAAACCCTTTATGATAGTTCTTCGGCGGGGGAAATTCCTTCGAGCCGCCATATGTAGAGCTACTTGGCTATACCACGTTTTGTTTCCCTTACGTTAGACATATTCACTACTATGAATACCCTGATGGAATGAGCTTGTATTTTCAGGTATCTAGTTTATTTAGATGGAAGTGATAGGTTTAAAATCATACTCAACTCGTTAAACTTTTTGTCAAAGTCACGTTTACTTTCCAGCACCTTATCGTTGCAGTATGTCACTGAATCACTTAATACATTGGAAATTGCTAGTCGCATCAATTTACCCATTTCGGTTATAAATTTATTCATGGTTTCTTCAATGTACTTTACAGTCACAGCATCGTTTTTGTCCACAGGATCACCAACATTCGTCATCAGTTTTTTTTCAATATCATAGTCACAATTAGTAGTTAGTTTGAAGCCAATGCCAGGTATACCCCGTACGCTGTCATTTTGACGCGCGACGTCCAAATTTATCAACGGCGCCATCACGCTGCATTGAAGGCATATTTGTAAGTGATGTGATATACTCTAGGTTGACAAATAAAAATATATGCGAATCAACATATAACACCCTCATCACGCAATTCTTCTATTATTGATATCATTTCATTATCGTGGTTTGTATGCCCAGCCATTTTTGAGCTATATAGCAGCCTCAGTCTATCAATTAACTCATTGATATTATTCCAATATACGTATACATATTCATATTGCTTATCGTTATATATTTTATATTTGGGTGCTTTCAAATATATACCCTGACCCACTGATGATCTCAGGCGTCTGGGCGATGATGTTGATATGATATTCAGTAATTTAGAGAGATATTCGGGAGACATTTTAAATTTTATTATCTCCTTCTTCTTCTTCTCAGAATCCAATAGCAGGTAACGTCCACCAATATCAAAGCTCACTAGGAGTTTGCCTAATAATAACTTGTCCGACTGTGGCTTTATTCTCACATTGTATATGCCTCCATACCCTGGATTGTTTGTTTTCAAATTAGATATATGGTTATTTACCAAGTTGGTCAAATTGGTCCGGATGCTACACTATGATTTGAAGTAGACATGTATCTACTCATTGAATTTTCTTCATGCGCTCCGAGTAATGAATGTGTGTCAGATTGCGTTTGCATCGGGGCAATAGTAGAAAGTTTAGTATGAGTCAAGTCACCAAATGATGCGTTTCCTGATTTATCTGACTCCATAGATTGTGCCCTAGGTGTGCTTGTAGTTGGTGGAAAAATCATTGAATTCACTACTGTTCTCAAGCAACTCAGTTTTCTTACACCTGATTTTGTCGCATCAAATAATTTCTTTCTTGATTCATCAAATGATACTTTTTTAGAATGCTTGGAGTATCGATTTGGGGTGTTGACTGTTTCGACAAGCTGGATGTAGATGCTTCCGCTATTGTTTTGAGCTGCTTAGTAATGGGCTCATATACCTGCTGCAATGCACTATCATGGAATTCACGTCCTTTCTTGATAGCAATACATTTCTTCCGAACTGACTCTGCTGCATCTACTAATTCCTTCTTGAGTGCCACTTCGGTGTTATTCTGCTGCCGTTTCATTTTGATATCTTTTAATCCACCGCGATGCGTACTAGATGCAGTCCCACGATTGATTGATGGTGTTTCTAATCTTCCAGTTGATTTATGAAACTATCAAACCCCTTCCGGTAACGACCACTTGTCAGTTCGCTATCCTTATCGATGACTAAGAATCCGTATTTATCGCTACAGCACATTGCACACATGTCTTGAAATTGCTTAAAGGTCATATCAGGTGCTAGATACATGATCGGAGAAAACACGAGATGAATGTGTGTTATCCACCTTGAATAAGAGGTTAGCATTGTCTCTTATTACTCTTTTGGGCACCCAGTAGTAACTCTGCACACAATAGAAGCAATCCACACCTTTGTGCCTACCCATGCTGAAGTATTCTAGAATAGAAGTCTAATTTTCTGTCATTACGTCATCAAAAATGAATATTGAATTCGGCTTGGCTTTCGATGGCGGTAAGATATCAGCATTATTGTTAAATGCATAATAACCTAAACCATTGACCGAAGTAAGTACTTTCTGTATTAATTGATATTTCGGTTGATGCAATGATTTTGAAAATATATAGACGTTTTCAAAGTAGAGTCCATGCTCATGTAGCAGTAACGATATTAATACGTTGGGTTTTCCA